CCAGAGATTCTGGCATTGTAATGTATTAATGTCCATCGCCCTCCTTCTCTTCCCATTTCGACTTCCTCTCCATCATCCAAGAACACCTCTCCCGTGCTGTTCTCATTGCTGCTGAGAACCACCAATAGCTTGAATGGTGTTTTCCTAGCTGCTTGTGTTGTTAAGGCTTCTCCTTGCATCGCTATTATGTTCCCTTCCCGTATATGTACATTTATATGATCGGATGGTGAATCCAGTGTTATATGTTTTCCTTGATTCAAACTCAAGGAATTCGAATAGTTGAAGAGGTCAAACCAATTTCCCGCTGGAAAATAAGCGTCAACTGAGACTACTCCTTGCTTCAATACAGGTGAGACCATTACCCCTTTCCCGAGAAGAAACTGGGAGTCGATTTCATAAGTATTTATGTCTTCAGGGAATGAGAAGAAAATGGGTCGTGCTATGGGTGTTCCTCTCATGTGCGCCTCGTACATTAGCATGTAAAAGTACGGGAGTAATTGGTAACGAAGACCAAGCGCTTTCTTGGCTGCCTTGGCAACATAGTCCCAAAGATAGAGCTCTTGACGGGAAGTATCATTTGCAGAGTGGTCTCTTGAGAAGGGATAAAAGGCTCCTAGCTGCATTAATATAAGGAGATTACTATGAAATTGTTTGAGACATTTTCTCTCTCTCTCTCTCAAGAATTAAACTTCGAATTATAATTGAGTTTCAGGACCGTACCTGAATCCAACGCTGACAGAGCTCTTCAGTAGTGTTTCGAGAGAAACCACAAATATCTGCTCCAACCATAGGAATACCAAACAGTCCAAAATTTAAGATGCTAGGAATTGAGTATGCCAAATCCTCCCATGTAGCTGCATTATCTCCAGTCCAATGGGCCGTGTATTTCCCAGAGCCAATAAACGTTGATCGAGCAAGAATGAACGGCCTTTTACCAGTCGCTGTGACTAAGGCCTGATTCGTGGCTTTGGATTCCAAAAGTCCATAAAGGTTATGAGCATCATACTCTGTAATGTTACCAAAATGCAGGGAAGAAGCAGGAACAGTTCTAGAATTAATGGGGTTTTGAGCTCCCGAGTTGTTAATTTTATACGGAGGATCATCAAGCGTAGAGAGTGCACTAGGAGATGAAGATATGAAATTTGATATCTCATTCATGTCAAGCCAGAGGCCATCAAATGGGAGAAGATTGTAAAAATTACTGATTTCAGTACACCAAAAAACTCCCCCAGCAGGATTTAGAAAATCTGGGTAGTAGACTTTTCCGGGCCAAACAACCCCCATATAAGGAATATTATCCCGTTTTATGAAAACGTCTGCCTGCGTTCCTCTAATGTATGTTTCATATGTCTCGTTCACACAGATACCTGTGGTTGACATGTATAATTAACAAAATGTTGATAATTAAAATTTTAAAAAAACAAGAGTTACAAAGAGTTACCAGGATCCAGGATGAGAACATATTTCTGATTATTTTTGTGAAGTTTGTTAACAAAACTCTTCATTGTGTCCAAAGGGAAGTTAACAGGATCGAGTGTGAAGTCCTTGAAACCATCCATATAGTCGATATCAGTCCAAATAACTTCAAGAGGAATTCCAGCTTTCGCATACTGATCAACGACTTCCTGGATATCATTAACATTTTTATAACCCCAACGGCATTGATGAAACCCTATACGCATTAAAAGAAAAATATTAGTACAAACTTGTTATTTTATTTTGTCTCTGATTTTCTATTCAGCCAAAATAGCAATCAAAAGTTCAACACTCACCGAAGGACCAGTAAGGCATAGCAGCAGGACGGCCAATGAGCTGTGTGTATTGATCCATTACCATTTTGGCAGATGGTCCAGCAAAGAAATAAAAATCCAGAACACCACCAATAACCTTGTAAGTGATCATATCACCAGTGTACACTATGTCCATGCCATTACTATTGAGCAACAATACCCCGTGAGCGGTTCCCATGGGGGTCCGTACGTCCATGTAGAAAGGGTGGGATCCATATAAGTTGAGATCAGGATTGGAACTTCCAATGTCAGCATTCCAGAGAGTCAGTGTCTGTTTATGTTTCAACTTGAACGAGCTCTTAGCGTGCTCACCAAGACCATAAATGTTGGACCTGTTCAATGGAAGTGAAGATGACACTTGGATGTACTGATCTTTGAAAACGAGGAATGTGTCAGGTCGGCCTGATACTGGTGAGGTGTCGAAAAGGATGTCACCAGTAGAGGGACGGCTGACACTGAAGCCAAATGGAGTAGTATAGTGAAGGGCAAACACTAGATCTGAGTTGACATTGGAGAGAAAGGAGGGGTAATCGGTCAAAACTTGGTAAGTATGAGATGGCATTTGACGCGTAACAATGTCATTTGGCACTTCCCATCGTTGATGGGTAGAGTCTGTTATTCTAATTCTTAGGCAATCATCTGTTTCAAAGCTGCATAATTGCATAAAATAAACATAAACGTAAGAATTAAAAAGTTAAATCAACTGAAGGAAACTTAATACTACATATAGAATTTCATGAGTGTTTTCAATTTTATTTCTGTGTATAGTAAGAAAACAAACAATAAGTTGTGACAGATACGTCCACTTGAACCCCCAAAACCAGCCCCGTAGACTTTTGGTAAGTATGAGATGGCATTTGACGCGTAACAATGTCATTTGGCACTTCCCATCGTTGATGGGTAGAGTCTGTTATTCTAATTCTTAGGCAATCATCTGTTTCAAAGCTGCATAATTGCATAAAATAAACATAAACGTAAGAATTAAAAAGTTAAATCAACTGAAGGAAACTTAATACTACAGATAGAATTTCATGAGTGTTTTCAATTTTATTTCTGTGTATAGTAAGAAAACAAACAATAAGTTGTGACAGATACGTCCACTTGAACCCCCAAAACCAGCCCCGTAGACTGAATTAGACTCCACATAATCAAACAAGTATTAGGACTACAAATCCAGCAAGATTTATCACCAGCAAATAAATTTAACCCTACCTGGCTATGAGGTTGAGATTCTGAACATCAGGGCCAAAAACTGAGGAATTTTCGATGAGTTGAAGAGCTGCAGTCAATGACCTTCCACTTGAATCCTTGCCAACTGATTTGATAGTGTAGCCATAACCAATTGGCCGCTGAGCTTCGATTTCAGCAACAGATGTCTGACCAAAGTCAAAGGAAACTATAAAACAGACAAAGATTGATAAAAGAAAATGGTTCATTCTTCTCTTCTTCATTGGCCTGACTGTATGATTGAGTTTCAGACATGATGCCTGTTTTATCTTTACATTTCTTAAGTTCCCACTAAAAAAATTACAAGATGTTACTTTTCAAGCCCCCACATATGACTAATTTTCTAGCCTTTTTCCTGTTTGTCACTCTCGGCGTCCCGTATTTGCTTTGTCTTGATTTGTGCTTTAAGATTCCTTGAGGGACCGGCCTATGATAGAAAGCGCCTGATTTTCACTTTTGCAGCCCTCAATTCTACGGCACCAGTAATTCACAAACAGTCAAGACCCAATGCTTCTTCAGTATCCAATCATTTGCATGCAGAAAATTTAAAGTTACTGTAAGAATACTAAAAAATAATAAATAATAAATAAATAAATAAAATAAAATAAAAAGTAGAAACAGTCCTGAACTTTTGAAAAACCCATTCAGGCAATTTATCAAACACCTTGTGCCACGCTCAAAATCTTACAAGCAATGCCTCAAGCTACCAAGAATTACAATAAGATTTCTCTTCTTCATCCCACAAGTTTCTGGGGCCAGAAATTGAGTTGGTCAATGGGGGACTTGTTATTGGGTTTTCATGAGTTGATCATTTTTCTCCAATCTAATTTCGGATATGGTGGTGGAAGTTCAGGTGACACTTCAAAGTGATCATCATAGCATCTTTATGACCCGTATAGATACTAAAATTACATAATTGGTCATTCTTACAGTTGCATCGACTCTAGATTCAATAACGTATTAAATCGTGACATCAACTAACGATAATTAGGTCCATCTCGTAAAATTATAGATTTTGAAAATAATATTAACATAAAAAGATCACCACACACTTAAAGGAATCAATCGCTTTAATGGACATGAATCCACATGAAGATTTTAATGAAGCTAGTAGTCTGTGACTGTAATATTATAGATCACAAAATAAATTAAATTTTTCGTTTGAGTTTTAGCAGCAGTGACAAATGGGTTGAATCGCTCATCAACTCATTCCTGTTCAAATTATGCTCAATTAGAGCTCCGGCTCGTACTAAAACGAGCGATTCATCGAGTTGAGCTCAATATTATTTTTCACGGACGAGCTCAAGGGTTGGCTCTTTTTTTACATTGTTATAGTAATTTTTTTTAAAATGACTTATGGACAATTGGGCTCAACCCATAAGATCAATGAGCCGAAAGGCCGAATCAAGCTTAATTTATACTTTATAGACACGATTGTCTGACAATCAAGCGTTTGATCGGTAATAATTATGGGAATTAATTTTTTTTACTATTAGAGAGAAAAGTGGATCGTATATGTAAGAGAAGAAGTAAAAAATGACGATTGATTTATGAAAGTAATAGTAAAGAAATTGATTTTTTTGGGGTAAAAAATCAGAATCAAACATGCATCAAATTGGCTCAACTCAATCTATTACCACTCCTAAACTTAAATTACCACTAGTAAAATAAAATTAGTTCAAACGGGTAGCTCAATGATCAGGTATTGGATTTGCTCCGCAATGATCACCAATTTAAATCCCCTCAAAATCATTGAGGTGAGTACCTGATTGTAAACTTTAGGGTTTCGTGAGATTAGTCGAGGTGCGTATAAGTTGGTTCGGACACCGACGATCATTAAAAAAAAATAATAATAAAAATAAATAAAAAAGAGTGAGAGAGAATTAGCTTATTCCAAAATTCTCAATAGTATGTGGCATCGTAATTAAAGACAAATATTGTAGGCATTTTAGTGAATGAATGTTTCCAACGGCTAATGTGCTCTGCCCTTTCATACGTGGGATTTCAAACACGATTCTCGAGGACAGTAGTAGCCGGACCCACCCACTCTCTTTCCCGTTGTAGAGTGAAGCCCGAAAATCTCTCCCAAAATTACGAAGAATTCTTCAATACCATACATAAACCCACTCACCGAATCTACCAAAAATTCACCAGTTCCCTGTTTTGCAGAATTATGAATCTCAACATTTTCAAGAAGAAAACTTCACCCAAGGGTAAGCCCTTCTCTCTCTCTCTGTCTCTCTTATCAGTTTCACTTGATTTTAGTTGAAGAGCAAGAAGAGTGTTTTATGAAAATCGTAGATTTTATGGTTTGCTGTACTTGATTCGATTTTGGGGAACTTTCAATTTCTTTTTCCTTGTAATGTCACCATACTTTTTGGCGGATTTAAGGAGAGTAAATTAACTTTTCTTCTTACCTTTGCGAAGTTTTTTTCTCCATAAAAAACTTCTTTTTCTGTCTCTCTGTGTGTGCTGCGGTTGAGGGGAGTGGGCCTCGGGGTCGGGTAAATGTATTAGATTTATCGGATTGGATTAATGACAATCTGATTTAACAGATGCACTGCGGACCAGCAAACGGGAAATGGCTGTCGCCACAAGAGGTAATTCTAGCTTTTTCTACATTTATACAATGATTTGCTCGGACCCTTGTGTTTGTGCACGTGTAATTTTCTTCAGATAGCACTTGGTTACGATAATAATGGTTTAAAGGGTTTTTAAGATGATTACAAAAGAACATTTGAAAAAAGGTTTTTAGGGATTTCATTGATATGGTCACTTAGTATCTCTTTTCCCTTACCAGAACTTTAGTTCAAGACCCTCTTTTTTTTTTTTTTTTTTTTTTTTTTTTTTTTTTTTTTTTTTTTTTTTAACGGGGGGAACCGCAGCGGCTGCGCATTGGGTAAACCCTCGGGCTGAGGCAGCCTGCAAACCACGCCAATCATATCAAGTTTTTTGATATGACAGTTCCCAGTCAAAGGATGATTGCAATAGCTAGATTGATATTCTCTTTCAGGGATAAATATTTTCTCCTCCTCAAATACTAGTTGCCAGAATTTAAATAAACATGAAACGAACAATCTTTCCTAGATTCTCGATCTCATCTTCCGAAAATAAAGACAACAATAATACTATTAACAAACTAGAAACGAACAAAACACAATTGCAAAATAATAGAAAACAAATACTAAACAATCTACTGCTTGGATAACAGACTTGACCTAGTCTCTTTGACAAGCTTTAACCACGGCTTCCTCAATCCCATGCTTGCACACGATTCTCCTTCACCCCATGATCCTATTCATCTTGGGCACATATCAATTCCTCCCCCTCAAGTGGACACTTCTCCCCAAGTTCCAGACCTGGATACTACTTTTGGAGGTCTTCCTGGATGTTGCTCACTTGCACTTGATTTGTCTTCACACGGGTTGTCCTCTATGATCTCTTCACATATAATTTTGCCCATGTTTGTGCACCCCTCAAGCAGTAAAAGTTGTGATTCTTGGCGCTTGTGACCAGCAGTAAACCTGTCATTGCAATTGAAACAAAGATACTGTGCTCTCCATTTTTGCATTTCATCCCACGTGAGCCTCTTCACAGGGATGCTGGTGTGGGTCGTTTTGGAGTAGGAAGGGTCATCTGTGTCTCATTGACTGGAAGCGGCCATGTGACTCTATTTGCGGACCAATTGCTCATCTCGTATCCGAGCAAGGCTAATAGCTTCCTTCAACGTTCGTTGTTTGAACATTCGAATGCCTTTAGCTATCTACGGTTTGAGTCCACCCCTGTACAGGGTTGCCTAGCTTCTCAAATTCCTGTTGTATTCTCGCAGGGAACCACATGCTGAAATTTGTGAGCAAGCTTCATCAAAATCTTCTCCATTAGTGGGTCTGAATTGAGCCCATAGTTCTTCCTCAAAGATTGTCCACGTCACCTTCCTTCTTCCCTCCTTGAATGTACGGTGCAACAGTTGTCACCATTGGTTTGCTTTACCTCCCAAGTGAAATGAGGCTAACGAGACTTTTTGTGTCTCCACTGTGCTTTGAAAGTTCCACTGGAGCAAAGAATTCTGTCATGTCTTCACCTGAGTGTTTTGGAACCTCCAGCTTAGCTGTTTTGGATGAAACAATCGGTCGATTGACTTCAGTATCTTCCTTGTTGGGGCGTGAATCTCCTTCTCTCTCATTGTTGCTGTGGCTGGTCCCATCTTTGTTAGAAAACAAAGCTTCAGGCATTCAGTTGAGTGTAATTTCTAGCTGACTTAGTTTGTTAGCCATTCCCAGCTCTATTCGGTGCATGCCATCGTGGAGACTTCCGAACCCAGCTTCCAAACTCTCAATATGTTCTTTGTTGGTGGTCATTAATACCTCACTCTGATACCAGTAATAGGTCCCAGTCAAAGGAGGATTGCAATAGCTATATAGATAATATACTCTTTGGGTGAGAATGGAACACAATAATCTGGATTAATTTTTTACCTCCTTCTCAGTGACTAGTTGGCAGAATTTAAATAAACATGAAACTAACAACCCTTCCTAGATACTCGATCTCATCTTCCGAAAATGAAGACCATCAATCATACTATCAACAAACTAGAAATGATCTAAACACAACCGCAAAATGATAGTTAACAAATAAACAATCTCCTCCATGGATAACAGACTTGACCAAGTCTCTTTGACAAGTTTTGACCACGTCTTCCTCAATCCCATGAATGCATCCACATGATTCTCCTTCATTCTATGCATCTTGGGCACGTATCAATTTTGCTAGAACATTTGGAAAAAGTTGTTTTGGGGGTTCCTTAGGCATGGTCAACAAACTTAATAACTTTTGCTTACCAGAAATTTTGTTCAAGAAAGAAACTTAGTAATGTGAAATGAGGTTCATCTTATATGAAAAAGTACTTAAGGCAGTTGATAATTGCATAGGGATGGACATAATCACATTCATGCAGTAGGCAGTGGCATTTTGAAGTTGTTTTTATCAATCACTGCCCGTCACTTTTCAACTCAAGTAACATAGGCTTTCTACGACAAGATTGTTCTCTGATCCAGGACTAAACAGATAATGAATCAATTGATCAGAGCTATTATCCCTTTCCTTTTCCCAAAATAGATTTGCACCCTCAGAGTGAAGAGGAATATAAGCTTCAATACATACACTTACTTTGTCCCTTCATATCCACCTTCTTTTGTTTTTATTCACACAATGATTCTGTAACACTGTAGGCATTGAACGTGAGATTGCATCTTTACAAATGGAGGTATGCTGTTTGTGATTTAGTAGATATTCATATAAATGGCACTGATATCTAAAAAGTTAATTGGTGTGTTTATATAATTTTATGAGAAATTGCTTCTGTTTTTCATATTTTAGGAGAAGAAATTAGTAGCAGAGATCAAGAAAACAGCTAAAACTGGAAATGAGGTAAGTCTTGGGTGAATTTATTTTTAGTTCATTTAGCATATATTAATGCACTATTGCCCTGTACATGTTACAAGGAACTAGTATTATAAAAATCTAGAAAAAAATATGTTACGGGGACAAGTTGTATTATAAAAATCTAGAAACAATGTCAAGTTCACCGTTTTGTAAAAGGCTTGACTGTTCTGGTTTCATGTTATTATGTGTCCTATAGGATGTCTTTTTGTGTTTTTTCAAAAGCTGGCCTTAAACATTTAATTTTCAGTTAGCAACAACTAATTTTTATGTCAACTAGGCTGCCACCAAAATTTTAGCACGTCAACTAGTTCGTCTGCGACAGCAAATAACAAATTTGCAAGGAAGTCGTGCCCAGATCAGAGGCATGACAACTCATACACAGGTCACTCTATATTGACACGTGGCTTTTGAACAAATGTATCTGGTGCTTCTTTTCCACCTTTTAAACGCAGTTTGCTACTTTAATAGGCCTTATATGCCAACACTTCAATTTCTACTGGAATGAAAGGTGCAACAATAGCAATGTCTGCCATGAACAAGGTATACATTTGAAGCATTACATTGTAAATAATTTTCAACTCAGTTGTGTAATCAATGTTCGTTGCTTACCTATATGAAGTCTAAAAGTCACAGTTATTAATAAATAATTTTCTTATCTTTCTCATTTGGTCAGTCGATGGCTGACAGATTTATATAGTTCTGCTGCTGCATTTATACTGTATATGATTTAATGCTTAATATTTTGGGTTAAATGAAGAAGCCCTGCTAGTTGACTTGGGG